AGGATGGAGTTCGAATTTCTTACATATGAGATTCCAGCATAATAAGCTAGAAATTCATAATATGATGTAATTTTATACGCATGAGCTCCATAATTCAGCATATTATGCTTGAACTTTCCGTGTATTGTGGTTCCAATATAATATGCTAGAAGTTTATATGCAGAAACTCCATAATCCAGCATATTATGCTGGAACTTTAAGTGTTTCAGCAAAATAGTATTAATTATAAGTTTCAATGATGAAAAATAATATATTACATTTGGTGTAGGGTCTCAAGGAATATATTAAAGGTATTCAAGAAGCAATATCAGTCAGGAATATATCAAGGAAAAGAATCAATGATCAGCAACGCAAAAGGAAGAAGCAGCGGAGATCCGGCAAAAATAGTCAATCAGAGATTGACAGAAGCTAACAAGGAAAAGAATCAGCGATAAAAAGGGAAGAAACAGCGGAGATCTGGAAAAAATAATCAATCAGAGATTGACAGAAGCTATTACTGGAAGGCCCCAAATCAAAGGGAAATGCGATCACTAAAAATTAATGAAGCCAAAAATCAAGGGATCCAACGGATATGACTCAAGTAACACAGAGATAATGGAAAGCTCGTCAAGACCATAAATCAAGGAAGATCAACGGGAACTTGACTTTATTCTTGGAAAGAATAAATTTATGATTCCTTTCAAGGATCAACTCCCTTGGATTTGCAATCTCTCAAGATTCTTAAAGGCCTCATGGAAAGTATATATACAGATGTTCCGGACGTGAAAATGACATACTTTGAACGAACCATCTTCCCTCGTTTTGTTCTACTCCAAACAAGCATTGTAGTTCTTTTAGATCTACTATGTAATTAGTGAGAGAAGAAAAAGAGATAAACAGTGGTGAGGAATTGGATCAAGAAAAGAAAAGAGACATAGAGACTAAGCTGTTGGTGTAAAGCTACACCATTCATTCTGTACTCAAGAAATATCTATCACTGAAAGAGAATACCCTTGCAACCCAAGGGGACTGGAATAGGATTCATATTGAATCCGAACCAGTATAAAATTCTGGTGTCTTTATTTCCTGCATTAGATTTTTGCATTTACTATTATCCTATTCTTATTTCTAGTCGACTAATTGGTAAAGTAGTCAACTACTTATAATTTTTTTTTTAAATAAGCAATTCACCCCTCGCCCCTGCCCCCCCCCCCCTCCCCCCCTCTCCTCCTCCTTGTACTTTCAAATAGTAGCTATTTTTTAATTACTAGTCGACAACTGGCTAGCCCGTCAATACCCTAAGCTCATATTAACCTCATTGAGAATTCATATGTGAACTTCAATGCTAGCTTACGAGTGCCAAAACGTACTTGTCAAAGATTTGATACTATGTGGAAAAAATCTAAATACCTAACTCAAAATCTTAATAACAGAGTGAGCCAAGATCTTTGTAAACCCTCGGAACCCTTACTTAATCCGTGTGAATTAACAACAATATAACTCAACAACTTGGACTATCTATTAAAGGAAGCCAATAAGCGTGTACCAATGATATCATGCATCTTGGAAAAGTCTTAATTTGTGAAAGAGATTTTCCATCCAGTTAGTAATATGGGACATATAGAATGTCAAGAATGGCAAGGAAAACATTGTCCTTCCTTTTCAAGTATACAAATGACTCCAACCATTTCTGTTTGGTCCAGCCTATGACAAAGATGCAAATGGTCCAATGGAACCTCATCAAAGGACTTAAATTTCTTTAATGCATGGGGTACAAAACTTTAATTTGTTGCAATATTCAACTCTATCACCATCCGTCTGTCATTTCTAGAATTTTCTACATTTATATAGATACAAAGGTCTAAATCACACCCTTGAGCTGTGACACTTTCCTGGACGTTGTGTGACCATAGGATAAGAATACTATGTGCGTCGGGCTGCTTTTTTTTATAATATGAAAGTCATGTTATATATATATCAAGAGACTGCTTCATGTAGAACCCACATAAAATCTTTTCGAGATAATCTATTGGTCCTCGATTTTTTTTTCTTTTCCTTTTATATTCCCTTTCGTAGGAGGATGACCACTTCGCGAGTGGTGATGAAAAGTCAGAGTTGTGAATCTAATTCCATAATGTCGGAAGAAAAAAAAATCTTTCACAATGACATCCATCTTAATCTTATTTGAGTATTAATTAATTAGAGTTAATTACTTCAATTAAACAACAAAATTGACAAAGAATTTGTTTAAAACATTGATCGAGAAAACTTATTTTACAAGAAAAAAGAGCAAGAAGAAGTTCAATGCTAGGATGTTGCACAGTAAAACTTGGATAATACCTTAAAGTTTACGAGACTTGTGCACTTAAATGCATCAAATGCAGGAAACTAAGTAAGAAAAATGGGGTATATATTATGATCATTCCGTTTGCCTTTGGTTGAGGTTTCCCTGGTTCAAGTTCTTGTTTCTTGTCTGCATAGACTGATTATTCGCCTGTTGCATATACTGGGCTGCCAACTGGTTATTGAACTCCATGTTCATTGACTGTAGGAAAACCACCAAATAAAGAAACTCAAACTTACCAAAACGCAGAAATAATATATATCGGTTCAACATTAGCTTTCTATAGTCGACCTAAGACGGATGGATTTTGGCCAATGTGAAAATTTATCTTTAGTTTTTGATCTTTTAAGGAAATATTAAACATTTAAATAACAAACCAACTTTCTATTTAATTTCCAGTATATATATATATAAATGTTGAAATTTTTAAAAGTTATGAGGTGAAATATAACCTTGATCAAACACTAGCTACTTGAAAAAAGAAGTTAATTTAAATAACATCGTTGATTTGATGCAAAATAGGTATGTCAAGAGCGATTGTAACTACATATATCAGGTCATCTAAAAGATAACCAAAAACCTACAAGTAACCATTCATATAAAATGGGATTCATAATCTGAAAGCTAAGACAAATTACTTGCTACAGCTGATTAAAATACATTGATCGTGTAAATTGTTGTTACGTTACCGGTGTATAAGTACCGCAATTTGTCAAGAGCATAGGATTATTACTTACTTGCGCTAGAAATGCACTTCGGGGGTCGTTAAAAGGGAATGAATTGCTGACACTGGGGGCAACTGCAGCTCTGCTTGCACTCGCATCGCCATTAGCTTGTGGCGGAGTAGGAATGGTAGGGGCCATGGCGTAGGCCGGTGACATGAAGGGAGGACAGGAAGTAGCAATTGAGGTTGGATAAATGAAGGGAGCATTAAGGGACTGATGAGGAGTTGTTGCAGCAGCAGCAGCAGCTCGAGCTAAATTAGCTGTCATATTGTTAAGCATTCCTGATGTCATGTCAAGATTGACACCCGTGCCCATTCTTGCTAGCAAAGGCATCTGAATATGTGGTAATTGCATTCCTAGAGATAATTGCATCATCATTTGAGACTCCATGTTTCTTGCACTGCTTATTAACTGAATTTGTGCTTGAAGCTGCTTTAAGTACTTTATGACTTCGTCCAACATTGATGCTTTATCTGTCTGTATAATCCACAATAACCCTTAAGTTATTAGTTTAATTGTTATACACTAACAACATAAAATAATTAACTTTTAACAACTATCAGGTCACCAAAAAGATAATCACGCAATAATTGTCTTCATTTATCAGTGTGACATTACATATATATGTTGTAGCTAACTCACCTTACTTGCATTTGGCACCAACTTCTGCAGAGCTTTCATCTTTTCGTTGATTCTATCTCGGCGTCTCTAAACCCCAAGAAAAATGTGAATTAATTAGTACATCATATTATAACGCCTCTGCATAGTTAAATATTTTTGGTCCATATTATCCATCTTTTAAGATTTTTGTATACAACCTAAGAAAGATAATGATAACCTTAAGTATAAGAGTATTATTAATTTTGTCTAAAATTTGCTCTATTTCTATCTTAAACATCTGGCCTACTTAACATTTAACTAATTGGTGCAGTAAAAGTGAATTTGCAGAAAAAAGTAGTAGTATCCTTTTTTATTTTGTCCCTTAAATGTCAAATATTTTTTGATAAATTCAGTTTATATGGGACAGGAGATAGTACTGTTTCATTACCTTATTTTTCTGATATTATATTAAGGTATTCATCCCTATAATTAAGGTGCATTAAATNAGGTTTGTAAACTAAATAATGATGCAAACATGCTATTTTGATGAGATATATATATATATATATATATATATATATATATATATATATATATATATATATATATATATATATATATATTCTCGAGGTAGCTAGATATACCACTACAAAATATTCGAAAGTACTATAGTACAAGAAAAAAGGATAGTCGGTACACTAAGCTTCTGCTATGTGCGGGGTTCGGGGAAGGGCCGGACTACCGAGGTCTATATCATTATATCATGATACGGGCTACAAATATACATTTTTTAGTTACACGGATTACGTACAAAGAAATGGGGGTTCAAATTAGAAGGATCTAAACATTTTTTGTGTTGAGTGGGATATAAATTTGAAATATATATGTAGGAACCATGTGAAGAGTTATTTAACGTGCTATTACAATTCTTTATACTTAACCATATCTAAAGAATGTTTTATGTCATTCTTTTGGAATCATGCGAATGGAGTATATGTTTACTTGTATGTTTCAAAAAGGTTGTTAGTATTTTCTTATTGGTGTGTTCCAAAAAAGTTTACACCTTTCAATATTTCCTTAATAGGAAGCATTTTTAACCATACAAATGTTATTGTAGGTTTCATACCACAAGTTTCAAAAGTTTTACAGCCACACAAATGCAATGACTTATTTAAGACCACATATCTTAAAAGTTTACCTTCTTTATTAAAGTTTGTGCCAAGTCAAACAAAGACAGTTATTTTGAAACGGAGGGAGTAATAAGTTAAATCTACATTAATAATATAAAATATCTTTATATCCTTATATATAAAATTTAAATCCAAAATAAGAAAAGGAGATTATAATTAATCCTAGCTAGCACTACTAGTATAGTTGCACATATAGAAAATTACCAAGCCAGCAATATGACAGGCAGAATCCTCATTAAAAGTGGCTCTGGACTTAAAGCTGCGAGAAGACTCATCAAGGGAATGATAATTAGGCCATGTCATAACAGTGTCCCTAACACTTGCAGAAGCACTAGGTTCAGCATTCTGATGATCAAAAATATTCTTATGATATTCTCCTACTAATCTTCCACTAGTCCCATATAATTGGGGGTCAGAATCTGATCTCATCCTCTTTTTCACCACTCCACCTATCGTTTCTTGCTTCACAATATTCTCAGTATTGATGTTTGCCTTATTTTTGTCACTTCCCTTTAGATCAAGATTTTGCTTTTGACAATTAGTGGCTTGATGCACAACAGACTCTAATGTGTCACTGGCTCTTTCCCATGTGTGTTTTGTTTGCTCATTGGGGAGGTTGTTTCCAAGTCTGTGCATAGCTAGTTGCCCATTTTCCCATGTTAGCTCTGCAACTTCACATTTTGACCTGAAATTTTAAATGAATATGGAATCATTGGAGGGGAGCTTGGTGTAACCGGTAAAGTTGTTGTCATGTGACTAGAAGGTCACGGGTTTGAGCCGTGGAAACAGCCTCTTGCAGAAATGCAATGTAAGCTGCGTATGATAGACCCTTGTGGTCAGACCCTTCCCCGGATCCCGCGTATACCGGGAGCTTAGTACACCGGGTTGCGGAATCATTAGTAGGGTTATGATTTCTAGCAGCAGCACAAAAAAAAAAACTTCTGGTGTTCCTTATTTACTGAGCATGAAACTTGGATTATTTGAACAAAGAGAATAATCAGATAAGCAGAAAGCAATAAATTAAGTTTCAAGAATAATATTACTACTAGCTATGTTGCTCGTACTCTCCAAAGATGTTGACGGGTGCGTGTCAGATCCTTCAAAAATAGTGTATGTATTTTTGGAGGATCCAACACGTGTGCGACAATATTTTGGAGAGTCCGCACAGCATAGACTACAAGTAGTATAAGAGAACATACATGGGGACAAGATGATTCTGAGGTTGCTGGTTATGCACGTGTGGGTATCTGTTTTCCTCTTCTGGTAATTCTACTGTTTGTTCTTGTCTTTGTTGCCTATGATTCCAATTATGACTCATTGTAATGCCTTTGACAGAGTCTAACTCTTCTCAGTGCCAGACTGCCACTCCTAATAATGAATACATTGCCTTACTCTCTCTTTTATACTAAATGTACTTAATGTCATTCTGGTCCCCTTTAGGAGTTGTCATATTCAGCTGACTATATACTCTATACACACCAAGTATACTGTAGCAAGTAAAATCTGGATTTCCAAATGGATAAGATTTGGCTTCTTCTTCTATACTGTTCATATCTGTCAATCAGATATTCTATTTATTTTAAAAAGATTGACACTATTTCCTTATTAGTCTGTTTCAGAAAGATTGACATCTTTCAATATTTCCTTTATAAGAAGCATTTATAGTCACACAAATGTTATGATAGATTTCAGACTATAAGTTTCAAAAGTTTTACAGCCCACAAATGCTATAGTTTATTTAACACCACATATCTTAAAAGTCTTCCCTTCTTTATCAAAGTTTGTACCAAGTCAAACTAAGACAATCTTTTTAAAACGGAGGAAATAGTAATTTGTATATTTCTTATTGTGTCTATATTTCTTCTTTTCCTTGATAGATTCTGGTGGGAAATAAAGACTATTTAAGGTCTGCAATATATGGAACTATTCTCTTCTTACCTTCCAACAAAGATATTTTCCGCTTAGATGGGGTTAAAAGCCTTCAATTTGATTCAATTTGTCGCGATCTATATCTGGACTTTGGTTTCTCTATATAACTAGTGATTCAGCAATCTTAATTTATGTCCCACCTCATAAGTGGAGGTGGGACTGGTCCTTTATAGTTTATCTCTTGTCATTCTCATCCCTGATTTCCTATAAACATTAGAAAGTCCTAAGCACCCTTAAATTAAAATTAGAATCCTTAGTTATCTCTGTATACGGTCAAATCAGGTATGCCCGATTTCTTGGGTTTGAGGGGTCGCCTTAAGCCCGAATTCAAAATAGATCGAGTTCGAGCTCGATGAACCAGGCTCAAGCTCGATGACAGAGTACAAGGCTCGAAGAATTAAGTGTCCGAGGAACGTCGGGGCTCAACTGCGACTAGGCCTCGAGATAATGCCGTTATGAATTTGTAACAGAATGAGTAAGGTTCCTGCCACGTCCCTAAAATCATGGCGTGAATCCCGAAATAGATTTGTACGAATTCGTACTAGGCGGTTAGACATCTATCTTAATAAGATTCTTTAATGTAAATAGAAATGTACCTTATTGAGGGTTCCCCTATTATATAAAGGGGACCCCAATCATTTGTAAACATCATCTAATCATTGGCAAAGAATACTCTCTTACTTTTCTCGCTCATTGTTCATCAGAATTGTCCTTTAGCTTTATTGTTCTTACTTTATTGTTCTTAGTCTATCTCGAGGTCACTTTGGCTCGAGGTCGATACTGCCTAGCAACACCGGTTTGATTTACTCATTTCTTTCATTTATACGTTATACTTCTTGATTATTAATTAGTATTGAACTAAATCACATATCTTTAAAACCATAAATCAAATTTAATTGTTACTCGTATTTTCGAGGTAAACAGTTTGGCGCCCACCGTGGGGCTAAAGATAATAGTGATTATTTCAGTACTGATTCTGATAACACACGTTATTTTCATACTTGTTCTTGTCAAGAATTTTATTCTCAGGATTAAACGTGTCAAACTCGCAAAACGCACATGTTCACGACAACGAAGGTCTTGGATTTCATGGGGAAAACAACAATATAGGGGTCGGTGTACTACCGATAAACCCTGGGGAAGTGCCAAATGTGGAACCAGTTGATATTAGTTCACACATTGCTTTGAATGCAGATTTAGGCGCAGACCCCGGAGGAAGTGTACGCAGGGAAGCCCGATCTGGGGCCAAGGAACACAAGGTATAGGAGATGGGGGAGTCAGCCTCCAAGTGATATTCGAGATATTGCAAGCTCAATAGATTGGCATCGCTCAACTTCAAATTCAGAATAAAACTCCGAGTATAGCTGAACCGAAAAACACCCAACGTGCTGAACCGGCACCAGAGAGGTCAAATGAAATGGCTTGGGGACTGACCCCACCATTATGAGGATGCTCGAAGAGCTCACCAAGAGGAACGAGTCCGGGAAAAAGAAGATTGAGGAGAATGACAAAAAGGTGGAGACTTATGACTCCCGTATTGATCAAATACCGGGGGCACCCCCGGTCTTGAAAGGTTTAGATGCCAAAAAGTTCATATAAAAACTATTCCTTCAGAGCGCGGCTTCGATGCCCATTCCTAAAAAGTTTCGCATGCCCGATATACCCAAATATAACGGGGCAACTGACCCTAATGAGCATATTACCTCATATACTTGCGGGATTAAAGGAAACGACCTGAATGATGATGAGATCGAGTCGGTATTGTTGAAAAAATTTGGGGAAACTTTGTCGAAAGGATCCATGATTTGGTACCACAACTTGCCCCCGAACTCTATCGATTCGTTTGTTATGTTAGCAGACGCCTTCGTGAAAGCACACCCCGGGGCCATAAAGGTGGCAACGAGAAAATCGGATGTTTTTAAGATAAAACAGAGGAACGACGAGATGTTAAGGGAGTTCATGTCCAGGTTTCAGATGGAGCGAATGGAATTACCACCCGTCTCGGATGACTGGGCAGTACAGGCATTTATGCAGGGTTTGAATGAACGGAGTTCGATTGCGTCTCGATAATTAAAGCAGAATTTGATCGAGTATCCAGCTGTGACGTGGTCAGACGTGCATAAGCGTTATCAATCAAAGATCAGGGTCGAGGACGACCAGTTGGGAGCCCCCTCGGGTTCAGTTCATCCTAATAGATTGGCAGCCAAGCCCCCGGGGATACAGACAGGGAATCAAGATCAAATAAGGAACAGTATCAGCCGTATGTCGATTGAAGAAACAACGGCTCGGGTCGTAACACTCCTCGGAACGATCGGAGAAACGGTCGAGGTCAAAACTCTCGGGTACTCATGAGTAAGAATGGGTTCGATAAACATACCAACCCCGCGAAGGCACCTCGATTGTCAGAGTATAATTTCAGTGTAGATGCATCGGGGATCGTGTCAGCTATTGGAAGAATCAAAGACAACAGGTGGCCCAGGCCAATACAAACTGATCCTTCTCAAAGGAATCCAAACTTGATGTGTAAGTATCATGACATACATGGCCATAGAACCGAAGACTGCAGGCAGCTGAGGGAGGAGGTAGCTCGGTTGTTCAACGAGGGTCACCTTCGAGAATTTCTCAGTGATCGAGTTAAGAACCACTTCAGGGAGAGAGATGCAAGCAGAAAAAATGAGCAGGAAGAACCACAACATGTAATCCATATGATCGTTGGCGGTGTCGATGTCCCACAAGGACCAGTATTCAAACGCACCAAGGTGTCGATCACCAAAGAAAAACAAACTCGGAGCTATGTGCCCGAGGACGTCCTATCATTCTATGACGAGGAAGCAGAAGGCATATCTCAGCCGCACAATGACGCCCTGGTAATTTCTATTCTGTTAAACAAAATTCAAGTTAAACGTGTTCTAGTGGATCCAGGTAGCTCAGCAAACATAATCAGATCGAGGGTCGTAGAGCACCTCGGCCTACAGGATCAGATTGTACCTGCATCCCGGGTCCTAAATGGCTTCAACATGGTAAGTGAAACAACAAAGGGGGAGATAATCCTACCAGTGAACGTAGTCAGGACCATACAAGATACAAAATTCCATGTCATCGAAGGTGACATGAGGTATAATGCACTCCTCGGGAGACCATGGATACACAACATGAGGGCGGTACCTTCGACTCTTCATCAGATGATGAAGTTCCCAACGGAGGTTGTGTGAAAACTGTTTATGGAGAACAACACGCTGCAAAAGAGATGTTTGCAGTCGAAGAGGTGACACCGATACCAGTGCCTTCGCCCTCGGAAAAGTCGAACACCAAATATAAGCAGGCGGCCCAATAGCAATCACCGATCCCAGTCCCGATCGAGCCGGAGGAACACGTAATCGAAGAAGAAGAAGAAGAAGAAGAAGAAGAAGAAGAAGAAGAAGAAGAAGAAGAAGAAGAAGAAGAAGAAGAAGAAGAAGAAGAAGAAGAGGATTTTATTACTCCTCGAACCTTCATTATTCCCGAAGAATCAGANCTAAACCACCACCCCACACTTTAACTTTTGCATATGTCAAGGCCATTCAAGTACTCATGGGAGGTAAAAGGGGTTCAAACAGATGGCTATTCAAACAATTGGGTAAGGTTCGCAATGTGGTTGCCAAAGAAACGGGCTTATAGGCTCAACGGGGTTAACTACGATGTATTACATTTAGGTGGGTTTACTTTATATATCTGGCTTAACAAAGAAATGCCTTTATCACTTCTAAGACTGAATGAAGCTACTATTTCGCTTTGCAAACACACAGGGCAAGTTCTAGGCATCAAATGTAAAGCATAGAATACAGTACAACTCACACACACATGGCACATGACTCACTCCAGATTGGTTAATCAAGACACTCTCTTTTGAGTGTTCAAGTCAGTTACAAACATACAAATTTAAGGCACTTTAGCAAGAGTCAACCACTGAGACTAGGCGCTACACTCTAGTGCCGATTGTGTTCAAGTGTATTAACGCCAAGGGTTTCTCTTTCTATTTTAGCTTGTATCCCATCAATACTAACTAAAAGTAAAAAAAAAAAAAACCAAAACTACCTACACCCGGTTCAAGCTAAACCCTTGGAAAAGAACCGTGGCCCAAAGAAAAACCAAGGGGGAGTTACTACACTACCTAAAACAAAACATCTTTTTGGTCTTTTCTCTAGACTAGCTTCCCTCAAGAAACTGTCTCAAATATCCGTCATCAAGAGGAGTCCTTATATTCTTTTTTTTGTTCGACTAATATCCCTCAAGAGACTTGTCGAAAGGTGTCCGTCTTCGGGCCAAGTCGAAGTTAACTACATGACCCTACGGTACCAAACAATCAAAAAAGAAAGAAAGCAACATCATACACAGTTATACAATCTTTTTACAACAACAGCCATCCCCCACCCCACACTTAAAAAT